GTATCAGTTAGAGGTAGGCAAAACCTCTCTTTCATGAGATCGGACCGAAACTGTTCGCTCACAGAAATGAATCGTTTCTTTTTCATGACTCACCGGTCACTAGCAATAATCTTGATGAAAAAGATCTGGAACAAAAGGAGGAATCGAGAACGGTTAGCGAGGATGAACAAATAGCAGAGAGGATCGAAAGAGCTGTGAGATCGGAAGAATTGAGTGAGTGGAATGCTAGCTCACTAAACTAATTTCTTTCAACAGTAGTTTAGAGATCCCATGAAACGTCCTTTCTACACAGACCTAAAATTAAAATTGTATTAGAAACATTTTTCAGAATGTTGGGAAATAATAAAAATTAAACTCATTTTTAACATGGGAGGACAAACATTCTTTTCTCCCCTGAAATGAGAATCAGAATATTCTGACATGCTTCGAAAAGAACTCCACTCTTTTCTTCGCGAACCAGGCTGCAGATCTATATCTCTAACAAGCTTCCAACAAGAACTCTGCTATTTTTTCGCGAATCAGACTGTATATCTGTATTTATGCTTCGAACAAGAACTATAAAGCTGAACTGTAGAATAGGTGCAACTTTTTTTTTTTTTCCTAGAATAGGAATAAATTCGCTCTGTAAAGTGAAACGGTTCTTCGAATCCGTTCCAGAGCACATAATTCACAAATGCACATCAGTATCGCCACTGAGGGAGAAGTTAAGAAAAATGGACCAATGAACTTCTATTGCTGTTGTGACGCTGAATCTTTGAAAGTGTGCATATGAACGTACGCTGTTGTTTACGTTTTATTTTGCACTTGTTTAGAAGTTATAAATGTATAAGGTATAAATGCTGCTATCATTTCAGTAGAAAATCTGATAGTTCTTACATTTTATAAGTTTACTTAATTCTCAACATTACACTTCTTCGAAACTTATCACGCACTGGAATATTTGGTTTAATGTTCGTGGCATAATATTACTCTTTATATCGAGAAAATGACTCAAGCTACAATTACACTCGAATATTATGCATTTACTAGCACTTGTTAATTAAGAGTATTTAAGTGCACACCTTTTATTGAGCTAAGAATAACTGGAAAAGTTACAATGAATGTAGTATTTTATTATCTCAATGCTTGCATTCCTTTAGTTTTGAAAGTGTAAAATTCAAAATATATATTGTGAACGATCTTATTACACTTATTGTTAACATTAAAAGTTATATATAAATGAAGTCTATATATTCGTTGTGAATGAGATAAAATCATTCTGTTTGAAGATTCTGTATTTCTTGTGCAGGCAACACATTTAAGAGTGAACAGCTACTAATGTGAAATTTAACACATTGAATGCGTAAGAATTCAAATTAGGAAAGTTTATTTTGAATAAAACTGTGCATTGGCTATAATTACGGAACATCTTCTTCATACAGCCTGCAATAAAAAATTCTAAGAATTTAGTGTTTACATATATAATCATGCTTATATTTGATCTAACTTCGCACTAAAAATTTTCACAAGAAATGCACAATGTGTTAATTATTTTGTACAAGAAATTGCGTGGTAAAACATTTTCAGCCATTTTGCTTAAAAAAGAGTCAAAAGTCATGTGAAATGAAAGAAATATTACCGGAACCCCATTGGTCCATTCTAGAAGCCACTCCCTAGGTAGCGATACAGATGTGCACTTACGAAATATGCTTCCGAAACAGATTGCCCAGTTTCATTACGAACAAGGCACTGTTGTAGACGAGGCATCGTTATGAACAAATCCCGAGATAGTATAAAGCTGAGCCGTAAAAGAGTTACAATTTTTTTCCCTACAATAGGAGTGAATTCGCTCAGTAAAATTAAACGGTTATTTGAATCAGTCCAATTGATCGGATCGTCCAATTCCATTATGTACAAGGCACCGCTACAAACAAGGCTCGAAGCACTGAATGTTGTGCCGATGGAAGTTAACCTAGAAGTGTATAATCGACAAATGATTACGAGGTGCGTACAAACGGTCGCTGAAATTTCTTACAAAAATTAGCAGGTTCTGTGCAATAATACCTGCACATTACGTCCTAACGCTTGCAATCTATTTTTTTTTTTTTTTTTTTTTTTTTTTTTTTGCAGATGTTGTTGTCCCACAAGGCTTTGAGATGAACTTTTGGGCAGATACCAACAATACATATCTTTAGATAAAATGTAATAAGAAAATCTGATGTGGACATCATATGACTTCGTTGTACGGCCTATTAAATTATACACACTTTTTGCTACGCTTCATTTAACCTTATTTTGTCGAATTATTCTAACTTAATTAATCGAACCCTCAAGACAAGTTGAAAATGACATCAAAAATTGCAAATTTCGAAATTAAATGGCCTTTTCAATTTTTTGTCGCACGGGAGTCAATCTTCTTATATTTTTATTTTTTCATAGCAAGTATAAATCTTTCCCAAATAAAAGTATAGGAACCAGGAAACTGCATTAAGAGTTAGATTTCGTTATTAGTCCAAATTAATGTTTTGCTTAAATTTGATATTGCTAAAACATGAATAATTTTTCTCATTTAAAACACTTTTGTAACTAGAACACTTCTGTAATCTGATGTCTGTGACTCAATGATTACGCAAGTAAAGGCCAGGCAAGGACTTAAGCTGGGTAAGGAGGTGGCACACACACATTTATATACATACGAGCTAGGTAACGAGGTGGACAGCCAATAACAATTTTACAGCACTATTAATTATCTAATGAAAATACACTGAGAACCAAAACAAACTCGGTCTGAATAAAGATTTCATCCTGAACATTAAGCACTTGCTTTCTGCACTTCGGCCTAGCTGGAAGATTTTGAAATAGGCACAAGCAGAGTGCCAAATTGTTGTGGCTGCAACATATTTACTGAAATAAAAATGAAAATGAAAGTCTTGCACTTCATTATAGATCTACAACCTATGTTTCTATGCCATCAATACTGCTAAGTGCTTTTATTACATATATACATTTATACCGGACATATATACAAAATTTCAATGTTCTATAGCATGGTTTTTAAGTTAAAAGAAATGAATATATACGTACGCACAAACCCCACGAAAAAGTGAATTTTGAATCCATTGTACTCGTACAATACATTCTGGAATAGAGAGTAATTTATTCTGTTCGTAAGTACAAACATGATAAAAAAATTAGTCGAAAGGGATTCGGAAAACGTATATTTCCGTTGAAAAGGGTCAAAATGTATATTTCCGTTGAAATATGATACCCGAAACTTTTTACGTTTACAATACTTCCTTTATTTCGCATAGTTCGTATAAGATAGTAAAAACAGCTCTTAATTCGTATTCTCCCATTTAAATTTAAACCAGTCTCAAACATATTTTAAAAAAGGTATAAGACAACATGTAAAATTTCCACCATTTTATACCAAAATTAGATAACTTTTCGGAAGATACAATTTAGCTTGAATTTGATGAAATTATGAGTTACTGGAAAATTGTTTTCATGGAAATTTAGGTTTTTAAAAAAATCAGAAAGTGTTGGGATTGAGACTTAATCTGTACTGCGTAGCACTTCCAAAATTTTCCCAAGATTAACATGGGATATGAAATAAGAAATCTGATATTTTATGAATCCCTTTGTCGCGCCCGCAGGCCGTATCTTTTTTGGACTTCCTTTATAAGGTATTTCTCCCGCCTTCTTGGCATGCCTTCGTGGTGTGGTGGCCTGCACACTGGGCGCGTATCCAGAGGTCCGCGGTTCAATTCCCGGCGAAGGCGTTGCTAATTTTTCATTTTGCCTTCTTCCAAAATACCTAATGTCTCTACAGTGCCGCCCGAACTAAAAAGGTGTTGGATGACGATTCTCCACACCCAGGATTTGGCGATTGGGTCCCCTAAAAACCCCAGTCACTCTTTAAAAGTGGGGTATATATAGGTATTTCTCCCTTCATCTTGGCATGCCTTCGTGGTGTGGTGGTCTGCAGGCTGGCCTCGTATCCAGAAGTCCGCGGTTCGATTCCCGGCTAAGGCGTTACTAATTTTTTATCTTGCCTGCTTCCAAATAACCTAATGTCTTTACACCTTGTTCGAAGTAACGGAAGCATTGTAATCACGAAACATTTCGGGTATCATACGCCAATGGAAACATCCACTTTGATCGTTCCCGTATCTGTCTTGTACGTACAGGCAGAATAAAGGACTCTTGATTCAAAAATAATTCTAAAATGGTTTAAAAGTGGAGCCAAATGGATCTTTTGTGACGTCTGTATATAGTAAGCTTTTATGTATGTATGTTATGAATGTATCTCGTATAACTCAAAAAAGATTAGCCGCAGAACGTTGAAATTTTGCATATGGAACTGCTATAACATCTAGTTGTGCACCTCCCTTTTTTATTGCAATCGACACTACCAGAAATATATATACACACCCACCGACTTAATTTACTCGACTTAATTTCGACAAATAAAGAATCTAACTTTTAATGTCGTCTCCTTATTCTTATACTTATATTTGAGAAAGTTTTACACTCGGTAAGAAAACATAAAATTAAAACTTTGACTTCTGTACGACTGAAAATGACCAGGCTATTTAATTTCAAAATTTGCAGTTTTTGATGCTATTTTCCACTTGCCTCGAGGGATCGATAAATGAAATTAGAATAATTCAAGAAAATAAGTTTAAGTGAACTGCAGCGAAAAATGTGTGTAATTTAATAGGTCGTCCAAAGAAGTCATGTGATGTCCACATCAGATCGTTTACTTTAAATACTTAATCAGCCGCTATTCATCTGGTCCGAAATTTCGAGCTAATGTTTTACAATTTCGAAATCGAAGGCAAATATTTTTTCTGCACGTATAAATGTGGGAGAAATGTTTGCTCATTTATCTGCATTTATAGCAGAAATATAAATATATTATTTTTGTAAAGAACCAATGAACAGTAGTATAAATAATCAATAAAATGTATGCAAATTCAAGAAATCTTGTAAAACTAACAGGCAAATAAAGTGCTCACACTTATTGCAAGATGACCATGAGTTATTTTAGGAATTCCAAAATTTCATGTGAAAAGCCACAGATCAGCCGACAGAAGACTTTCCAGCCATATCTAAAAAAAAAAAAAAAAAAGGAAACATAAAAACTCAGCTTCATGTTAGAAAATCATATTTTGTAATAAAATTAATTGCAGCCATTATGCAGTTTTATTTACACAGTGTGTCAAAGAATTGACGGTCTTAGTTTTCAGGTATAGGAAAACATGGGAAAAGTAACAATTTTTCCAGTACAATGTGCGATGGATGAACGATTATAGAGAATACAATAAAGTACTCTAAGACTGTCTTCTTAAGGATAGGGATGCCTTTATGGTGGACCTTTGAAGGGAAACTGGTTCGCATTCATGAGATACGTAAGGAATACTACGAAGAAAATGCACATGTATCTAGTATGTCTGTCGGGACTTGAACGCTGGCCGAACGGCCAAAGACTTCAATAAAAAATATGACGTAGGCACCACATGTCTTCCTTGGACAGCCTATTAAATCATGCTAATTTTTTGCTGCAATTCATTTGAACTTTATTTTCTCGAATTTTATTATATAATTCAATCAGTTCAGTTCTTACTTCGCGGCAAAAGCAATAACTAAAAACTCAATCTTCATTAAAAATTGTAAACACACAGTAAAACCTAAAACACAAAGTACAGTTAAAAAAAAAATAAATAAATTTTTTTTTTTTTTTTTTTTTTTTTTTTTGCACGCAGAAACAAGCAATTCGTCCAGCGGACAGAAATACAACAAAATTTTCGGTACACAAACCTGAAGGTTATCTTTCGGTCACAGTGGGCAAAAAGACACTTTATTGGTGCACCAACTGACTTAACTCTGAAACTGCAAACGTAAATAAACGGCTGCCTCGTTAGGCTTAGCGCCATTACAACTTTTGAATTGTTGATAATTCTATAACTATCGCATGTAGATTAACTAAAGGCATAAAAACCTTAACGGGAACATAAGAACAATATAATTCACTCATTTTTAAAGCAAAAAATATACAATTAACCAGTTTAAAAGAATAAAAAACTGAGCTCACCGAGCCGGGTAACAGAGTGGCAATATGTAAAATCCATTTTATAATCGGTTTTTGGAAAAAAAGAGTCCTTTATTCTGTCCGTACTTTTAGATGTCCCATCGTTCAAATGGATTGGAGAACGATCAAAATGGATATTTACGTTGAAATACGATAACCGAAATTTTGTCGCGATTACAATATTAACAAGTTTATTTTAACGTTCTTTAGACTCTGTTTTTTTTGTTTTTTTTTCGGAGGATGCAGTAGCTCATCAGCCCAACAGAGTGTGCAGGACTTTGACTCAAGCAAGATCACACCAAAAAATGTCAGTACGGAAAACATCGATGAATGGTTTGTCGGCGTTTCGACTGAGCCGGACTTCCAATTCTTGAGTGATATGGATATCGTTTCAAATGTCACAAGAAGTGAAAAGGCAGAGAATGATAGTGAAAATAAAGCTGAGAAGATTCTGAAAATTACATTAATGCCGAGACAGCAATGACTTTTGTTGAAACTCTGTTGGACTTCGCTAACCAAAGTGAACTCGGATGTAATGATAAAAAAGCATTTCGAAAAATACTCAGTGAAACTTGAAAAATATTTAAAGATTCTCAAATATAAAGTAAAATTATTGATTTTTTTAAGAAATAAACACATACAATATGTATGGCAATTAATTATTGCGCTTTTCAATTTTCCAGGATCTGCTTCTATCGCATTAGTCCGGATAATCGAGAATTTCCTGTACTTTGTTGATGATGAAGCCCAAGTATTTTTAAAAAAATTAAGTTTTTACTTGTAAATTAATTTACAATTAAGGAAATTTGATACATAATATTTTTCATCTTGAGAAGCGATTTTTAAATCTTTGTACAAAGTAAAAGATGCACTGTAAAAGCGAAAAATTTCGGATATCATATTTTAACGGAAATATCCATTTTGATGTTTCCCGAATCCATCTGCACAACGTTTTTTGCATGATGTCTGTATGTACGCACAAAGTAAAAGGCTCAATTTTCGAAAACGGATTTAAAATGAATTTAAATTAGATTCAAAAGGGAATTTTTCGTTACATCTATACATACGCACATACGCATATATGTATCTCATAACATAAAAACGTTAGCCGTTGCCAAGTATTAGGCAATTTGTTACTATTTATTAATATATTTACTTTAATTCAATCATTGTATATGTTATATATATTATATAGGGTCTAGAAAATAGCTACTAAACAGCAGACACTACGAAAAACATTTATTAATTATGAATTTCAATTTTTGGTCTTTGTAAAAAATTAGTTCTAAATTTCTTACTATATTATATTTACGACATATCACCCCTTACGAGGCTTTTTTTTTTTTCGCAGTTAGTCGTAGGCATGCATTTCCTATTATAGAAGTGGTTTAAATGATGAAAACATTCACGTTTTATCAATTTCAAGTGTTTTTTTTAAAAAGTTCATTTTCGACAAATAGCTAAATCTAACTTTTTATGCGGTCTCCCGTTTCTTATACTTATATTTGAAAAAGTTTTTTATTCGTTATAAAAAATAAAATCGTAAGAAATCTGCTTCTCATACGACAAAAACTGACCGGGATATTTCATTCCAAAATTTGAAATTTTTTATGTCATTTTCCACTTGCCTGGAGAGATCGATTAATTAAGTTAAATTAATTCGAGAAGATAGGTTTAAATGAAGTTCAACAACAATGTGTATATAATTTAGTAAGCATGCAAAGGAAGTCATGTATCCGCATCTAATTTTTAATTTCCGGTAAAGGCTTCGTAGAGGTATTCATCAGCACCAAAATTCAGAACTAGAGAATCAATCACAAATGCTTAAAGTTTCTATCGCTCGCATGCTGCTGAGGAGGCTTCGAAGTTCGTCTCATTTGTAATAACTACTATTCCTTTTGAGATCTGCATTTTTTACTAAATCTATTTGGGACTGAAACTGAGCTTAAAGATAAGCCAGTGTCACTTTTCTAAATCTCGATTGCTTTAGTTTCTTGGATTCACTCTAAAGTTTCTGGTATCCAAAGCACGTGTTTAATTTTTAGAAAACACATAGATCTTGACCAAACAATAAAAATTAAAAGCAAAACACTGGTAACCAACATCAGTTAGTTTGCATTCATTAGTAGAAAATTGGCAAACACAAACGAAGAGAAGAATGAATTGAGAATGGTGGTCACATTACGCAACGCATAATTTAATTGGTATTCTGAACATGCAGCGCGGAAGAAGAAAAAGAGGAAGACGGAGAATCACTTAAACAGCATTAATGAGACGCTGGGGAATTTTATTCCTTAAAAACTAGATCAAGGATGTGTGATTTACACACTACTAGTTCAGAATATGCAAAATTTGGACTTTAAATTCTTATCAAAACTCGCACAGGAATAATTTTGCGTCAGTAATCTAGATCAGGGATGTCCAGTGTCTGAGATCTTCTGCGCCGCGTGGGCAAAAATTTAATATTTTTTAATGGCAAAAATATAACTTAAAATAGACGCCGCTTAATATGATCATATTTGTCCACGGCTATTTGCTAAAATTAACCGAATGATAACTTTAACCGATGGTAAAAATATTCTTCAAGCTAGCAATGAAATTTCGCTAATTCAATACAAGGACAACAAGAAACATTTAAATACTTAGCAGCATTTTAACTACGAAAAGGCAAAACGTTTTTGATGAACTCTTCATAATACCTTTCACTCAAAGATTCACAACTATTTTTCCCCCAAGCACTCAATTCACCATTGCTAAATAATCATTTCCCCTTCCCTCCTTTCAAAATCGAAAAATGCATACGCATTTATTTAAATTTAGATTATTATTTTTTATGAATTAAAAATGATTATTATTTTGCTGTAATAAATTTCTAATCATCCTCAAAATCGATACTTATTCAAAATTAAGCCAACTCAGGTAGCTTTTCGCTTAAATTTAAATGGTTGGCTATTAAAATCGAAACAAAGCTGTTTGGCGACATAATCCATTACTTGGGGAAATTTTACTGATACTTGACAATTTTTAAATTTATTTTGATCTTATTTGGCGACTTCAGTTAAAAACATTCGATAATAATATCCAAATGGTAACATTACTCGCGACTGCATTAAGCGGCGTATGTATTTTGTATTGCTCCTAATAAATTGCATTTATATATTGACCCATAACATGTTAATTAAAGAAAAAAATATGAAAACTACTACATTTTTAGCGTAAGTATTAAGCCTATTTTTAAAACCATTCATTTCATTGAAATTGTTGCAAATTTTGTAAATATTTTCACTTATTTGCTGATAATTGAATTTTATATCGCTACGTATTTGTTTTTATTATTAATATAATTAGTGGATTTTCTATTGCAAATTTGATTGAGTATTTCATTGAATTCTGAATTTATGGCCTTTAAATGTGTTTATATGTATTTTTTTAGTTATAGAGCTTTTGATTCGGTTGATGTTTGAACTGTAAGGACACAAGGAATTATGCCCAAGGCCCATGCCTTCTGTCAAGATGTAAACGGTAAAAGGTGAGATTAACAGTTCTCGACGAGGGCATAGCTGGTTTTTCAGATTTTTGACTCCAGAAGCCTCCAAAAAAATAGATCTGTAAGGACAGATGTATGTCAAAACTCATTCTACTGTTTACAGCCGAAAACATCGCGGAGAAAACAATGCAAGGCGAAAACGCCGTGATACAAAATATCGTAAAAGAAAAGAAAGCAAATAGAAAACATCGCAATTCTAAAATATCGTCGTCGAAATTAAAGCGGTTCAAAAACCTCGCAGTTTAAAAGCATCGTCGTCGAGAATATCTTGGTGAAAAATAAAGCACATACAAATCATCGCATGACGATAACATCGCACACATGTGTTTTTTAGGTTTTAAAAGTTGTGAATGCATATTCGCATAAAGATTTGGAAGTGCAAGAAATGCTAACGACACTTTAAGAGTAAACGGAAACAAAACAAGATATAATTTTCACTAAAAAAATATCAGATTAACAAACATGAAAAAAAG